TTATCTTGGGTTTGTAATGGCCTATGGCTAAATACAATAAATAAATTTTAATTAATAAGAACATAAGAGACGCCAATGTTGGATCAGGCCAGTGGCCCATCCAGTTCAACACTCTGTATCACACAGTGGCCAGAAATACCAGGTGCCATCAGGAGGTCCAGCAGTGGGGCCAGGACATTAGAAGCCCTCCCACTGTAATAAAGCTGACTACCGAAAGGAGAGATATCCTTAAAAGGGTGCTGGTGGGGTGTTTCCATCTTTCCTCCTGGCTTTGCCGCAGTGTTCACTGTGGGAAGTGTGGGGCGTGGACCCATGCCGCAGCCCCTATTTTCAGGAAGGCAGTCTGAAGAACTGACCCAAACTGAGGTGACCGGAACAAAGTTGGGGTCCAGTGGGGCACCTTTAAGACCAACAAAGTTTCATTCAAGGTGGGAGCTTCCGTGTGCACGCACACTTCGTCAGACAATGAAATGGAATTACACATCATAGTTGTATATGTAGGAGTGGTTTGTTAAATTAGCATGCAAAATAGTGAGGACACATTTTTTTCACAGATCAAACGCTAGTGCCTTCTTTTGATCTGTTAATTTGCTCTGTCATTCTTTTGATCTGTTAAAAAGTGTGTCCTCACTATTTTGCATGCTAATTTAACAAACCACTCCTATATATACAACTATGATGTGTAATTCCATTTCATTGTCTGACGAAGTGTGTGCGTGCACACGGAAGCTCACACCTTGAATAAAACTTCGTTGGTCTTAAAGGTGCCCCACTGGACTCCAACTTTGTTCTATTGCTTCAGACCAACACGGCGACCCACCTTAATCTGAGGCGACCAGAGATGAAGTTCTAGATCTACTGGGGAAGTTAAAAATCAGTGAAGTCTCCAGGTCCTGATGGCATACAGCCGAGAGTTCTTAATGAAATCAGATGTGATATAGCTGGTCTACTAGCCCGTATATATGTCACCTATCACTAAATTCAGCTGCTGCACCAGAAGACTGGAGAGTAGCAAATGTGACACCAATTTTTTAAAAGGGATCCAGAGGGGAACCAGGAAATTACAGGCCGATGTCTGTCCCAGGCAAATTAGGAGAAACTAATTAAATAAAGAATGGTTAGGCACACAGAGGGACAAAGCCTGATGAGGGAGCATCAGCATGGCTTCGGCAAAGGGAAGTCCTGCCTCACCAACCTTTTGGAGTTCTTTGAGAAAGTGAACAAGCATGTAGACATCGGTGACCCAGTAGACATTGTATACCTGGGCTTTCCAAAGGCTTTTGACGAGGTACCTCACCAAAGACTCCTGCGTAATCTTAACAGTCGTGGGATAAGAGGACAGGTTCTTCTGTGGATTAAAAAACTGGTTAAATGACTGTAAGCAAAGAGTAAGAATCAATGGGCAGTTCTCACAATGGAGGGAAGTAAGCAGTGGGGTCCCACAAGTATCGGTATTGGGGCCGGTACTGTTTAATTTATTCATAAATGATCTGGAACTGGGGGTGAGTCGTGTAGTGGCCAAGTTTGCAGATGACACAAAATTACTCAGGATGGTGCACACCAAGGGTGACTGTGAAGAGCTCCAAGAGGACCTCCACAAAGTGGGTGACAATGTGGCAGATGAAGTTCCGTGTTGGTAAGGATAAAGTGATACACACTGGGACAAAAATGGGGTCTGAACTTGCTGAGACTGAGAGGGGGGAAAGATCTTGGGGTCGTAGTGGACAGCTCAATGAGAGTGTCAACTCAGTGTGCTGCTGCAGCAAAAAAGGCAAACTCTGTGTTAGGGATTATTAGGAAAGGGATTGAGAACAAAATGGCTGATAGTATAACGCCTTTGTATAGATTTACAGTGCCGCCTCATTTGGAATCCTGCGTACAGTTCTGGTCACCGTGTCTCAAAAAGGACATTGCAGAGCTGGGAAAACTACAGAGGAGGGCAAACCAAGATGACGAGGGGGTTGGAGCACCTTCCCCATGAGGAAAGTCTGAAGAGTTTGGGACTTTTCCGTTTAGAAAAGAGACCACTATGATAGGGAACATGAGAGAGGTTTATAAAATTATGCATAGGGTGGAGAGAGTCGACAAAGAGAAATTTTTTCTCCCTCTCTCCAAATACTAGAACTCGAAGGCATCCAGTGAAACTGAGGGGCAGTAGGTTCAGGAGAGACAAAAAGAGAAATGCCAGCTCCAGAAATTCCTGGAGATGTGGAGGAGGGGGGGCTTAGAGAAGGAAGGGTCTGGGTAGGGAATGGAACTCAGCAGGGTGTAGGCCCAGGCACACCACCTCCAAAGCGGCCGTTTTCTCCAGAGGAACTGATCTCTGTCATCTAGAGACCAGTTATGATTCTGGGAGATCTCCCAGGCCCCACTTGGAGGCTGGCAGCCCTGTCAATAAAACATCTATCTGTAGCTGCGGGCCATGAGGTAAGCTGCCGCCCCCCACGCCCCACGTGTCCGCCAGTGCATGGTTTGTCTACTTTGTCCCACAGGACTCAAAACAGGGCCATTGAAGCACCTTACCTGCATCGCCCCTTTGTTTCTTGGCGACATTTGAGCATGACAAAGGCCCAATGTGAGCGGAGGCATATATAATCATAAATAATTATCATACACAAAAATCAAGCTATACCCCCCGGGCATGCTACTCATTAGCGCTGACGTGCGATTAACAGCATTCTCCTTGTTCACGCTTTCCTTTCATATTCTATAGATGCGTGTCCCATACTTAGTCTGAAAAGAAAGAGTCCTAATTAAAAGACTCGGATACTAGCAAAAAAAAAAAAAGGCAATTAGCTAAAGAAACAGATGGCCTTTTTATCTTACATATATAGCAGACAGTTAATTAGGAAGAGGCTAGCCAGAGAGACACAGAGGAGCAAGACAGAAGAGAAGATGGAACGATGTCCTTGTTTTTAACGAATAGGTATCTTCTGTTTATGAAATAAATATCTTAATACAAATATTTTCCTCAGGTGACAAATATTTTGCTGAATTTGGCACCTGGCGCATGTGTGGATTCTACCCGCATCGTTTTCACCAGCATATCTCATTTCTATCAAATTTAGTATTTGCCTTATGATTTTATTCAGCCTGTTCAGAAATCTTGACATTTGATTTCATTATTTCTTACCAGCTGCCAAAGACTTCATACTATCCACAAGGATCAAGTGGTCTTCCCCAGGTGTTGTTGTTTTTTTTAAATGTCTGTTTCGCATTGCATTTGGAAGGTCTGATGGGAAACTTTTGTGATCATGGCCCATGAAGCACAAATGGTGGAAGACCTGACTTAGGGCCCAGAAAACTTTGTGAGCTTGTCATTTCGTTGTCCATTTGTGAAGGTAAGCAAGCAAGCTGTTGGGACTGATACTGTGCATGCTTTTTAAGAACCTGCACATTGTCTTTTTGAGCTGCTTGAAGGATGAAAGTCAAACGCAAGAATCAAAACCCCACCTCCCAAAAATAGACTCTATCTCAAACCCTTGTCTATCAGAGGCTCCTCTTTCCCGTCCATTTGGCGTGCCTGTCATCCTACATATGTCTTTTTTTCAAGATAGCTTCTAAGACTGAGCATGTAGACCCTGATCAACTGTTCAGTTCTCAGAAGAACTCCTCCCATAACACAAAAAGAGAATCAGGCTTTTTGTTTGTGTAGCCCAGAATCAGCAGCTTTCACACATCGTTTAATGTAGGGATCTGGAATCTAGACATCCAGGGAATCTACCACTGTCTACCGCTGTCATTTGATGATAAATATTCATAACATTTCCACAGTTTTCAGGAATGTGTAGCAATGGGAGAAAGTTGCCCCGTCACCTTTAAATGAAAACATTTCAGCAGCTCCTTTCATAATCACAAATTTAAAGATGGTGATACCTCTCTGAATATCACACCCAATCCAATCACACTTTCTACCGTCATTTGCCTGCTAATGTCATTTGGCATCTGAAATCACTCCACTTTCCAATAGATAGGACAGATCGACTCACGTTCTAGCTGTATCTGAAGAAGTGAGCGGTGACTCATGAAAGCTCCTCCCCTGCCACAAATTTTATTAGTCTTTAAGGTACTACTGGACCCTTATTTTTTTCTACTGCCACAAAATTTAAAGGGAGTCTGATACAACTTTGCAATAAGCCACTTGCCTGGGTTGATTAAGCCTGTATAGCTTGCTAAATCCGCTCATCTTGCAACAAAACCTGGTAAAACACAGTACACTGTGTAGTGCAGCAGAGTGTCTAAGCGAATGAGCTGTGATCCAATAGATCACCAGTTCAAAATCTTATTTCAGCACAAGTTTCTCAGCAGTCTACCAGCAGTGTGAGAATAACAACATTGGCCTGTCTTTCAAGGCCGTTGTAGGGGCTATGAGATAACCTAGGTAAAATGCACTGAATACTGAACACGCTATACTATGCTAACTAGAAATTACTCTTATTACTACTACTATAAAAGTAGAGCAAACATTTTGTGCCAGAACTATCTGCCTCTGTCCAGCCGGAGGCATTGCATTCGTCCCAGGGGTGGAAGGTGAGGGGTTGAAGGGGAAAAGAACAGAGCAACACAAGTACATCCTTTGAGCATTTTAGAGGGTAACCAGATCCTCTGGGGTTTGCCTAGTACTAAGCACTAAAACGGGTATATTGTCTCAATCAGAAATATTGAACAAGGACCTATTGTCTTGCTTGATAGATTTCATACACGTTCACCCCCTTCTCCCTCTCACACGCCTCCCACACACTTGTGCACACCATACAGTTATTCCGTTTCTCTTGCTGCATATCCAGACTGAGGCACAGCCCTGTGCCACTCGCATCTGGTCTTTCCATTACTACTTGATCCGAACACAAAGAACGGGCTCAACCTGCAGGGCATTCTCAGGGTGTTGCGTAAGTGTTCTTATGAGCAGTTGATAACAGCAGCTACTACTAACAACTTGTTTTTGTAAAGCACTAAAAGACATTGTCAGCCCTGGACCAATCATGCCATTCCCATCTCACCTTTTCTAGCAGGTGGTGTGGCTTTCTCTGCCTCAGGTTTACGCTTTTCAAAAGTCTTCTTCACGTCTGCAACCTTAAGCGCTTTCTCGTCCTCTTGGCTCCTTGCCTTTTCTCTTTGCTCTTGCAGGATCGTATCCGCATCTTCTGCAGGCTCTTCTGCAGCAGCCTTGCTTGGGACACCTTGTTTGGGATCGCCATTAGGGGGGTTCGTCAGTGTCACCAACATGGCAGCAGTGGGTTTTGGACTCTCCCCCGGCTGTAGCTCTGTATCGGAGGTTTGCAAGCAACCTGCGTGGCTGTTTGAATGGGACACTGCTCCCATTTCATCACAGAGGCCAAGGTCTTCACCACTCTCTGGGGAGCGGCTGTCGCTCTGTCTCAAATGCTTTTCAGCCTCTCCAGAGACCAAAGCAAAATTTAAAGCAGCAGACACCTTTATCTCAAGGCCCTTTGCTACTTTATCATTATCAGCCGTTGTCTCCTCCACCGAATCCTCTGCACCAGTCAGAACAACATGGCAATAGTCTGGAGCGCTATCAGGCTCAGAGACACAATCAACAAGCTGTGTAAAGTCTCCCCTTTGATTGCTGGGAACTGCAGCCAGTTGGCCTCCTGTTTCTTGCTTGCTTTGCACTGGAAGAAAGTCCATCTCTTCATTCCTTGGCTCCTTGGAATCAACCCAGCTCAGGGAATTGGCTTTGTTTTCATCGACAGGCGAGTTCAAAGTCAGTTTATTTACTTGCCTGTTCTCTACACTGCTTTCAGAATCTGACCGCGTTATCTGTCTCTGTAGTGTTCCCTGGAAAGTGTTAATCATATTCATGCTCCCACCTGCAGTGTCTCTTTCAAAACTTTCCCAATGGCCACAGTTATTTACTTGGGTTGGTGGCCAGCTATGCCCTGTCATTTCCCTTTTCCTTTCAGGTTTTGGAAAGTCATTTGTCTGTTCCAATGGGTGGATTTCTCCCTCCCGGGTGGTGATGCTGAGTTTGGTTTCCTCCAGCCTGTACAAAAGGGCACTCACCTTCCTGCCTTCTGTTTCTTCCGAGTGCTGCCTTTTAAACACCAGAGAAGGGGCTTCATTCTCACGGGCCCATGTTGCCGTGCCCTGTGCCGTGTACAAGGGCTCTGCCTTCCACCCTTTCGTGTCCCTGTTACTGGCTCCTCCACTCAGCCGTATGTTTCTCGAGGAGACCTGTAAACTGCAGTCAGTCTCCACAGACGTGCTTCTCTCTGCAGTATCACATTCCGTTTGCTTTTCAGTCAAGAAAACATAGTCCTCACCTTTCATCTTGGAAGTCTTTCTGGTGTGAGAAGAGGCTTTCCTTTCGGTCATCGTTTTGCTATCAAGCGAATACCCAGAGTGGTGCCACGCGGGGGCTTCCATGTTCAGCTGGGCAGTGCCCGAACGGTTTAAGCCAACCCCTTTTGCAGACAAAAATTAAACAAAACCTGTCCCACTAAACGTCAGGCAACTCGGTTCAGAATCCCTCACACCCGTCTTCCCTTTTACAATTGCAAGGGGGGGGGCGGTTTGCATGGAAATATCTGGCTAATGAGAACTGGAATTATTAATATTACGGTAACTAAGGATGGACAACCCCCACAAGATCCACAGTATCCATCTCTAAATCAGGACACAATATATCACTACCTACTACACAGAGTTTCCCCACCTGAACAGAAGTAACCTCGTCCCAGGTCCAACAAATCCCAGTTTTTTTAACTATAGATCACTTTGTAGGAATGATTTCTTACATTCAGATGATTCTCCTCTCCGGTTGCTTTCTCCTTCTCACAAACAGGTTGCAAAAAAAGGCTTTTTGGCAACTTCCGATGATTTTTCTTTTGCTGCTGGTCTTTCAGTGATGATTCACAGTCCTCCTCTTGCAGTCATTTACAGTGAAGATCGTTATCAGTGCTTATTCAAAAGTGGACTTTCTTCCATGGCTTTCGCAGAGAGTTTGAAAATAACTACCCTCACCTTGGTGAATTTCCAGGGTTTTTAAAATATTGAGCTTCGTTGTCATGAATTCCTTTTGCCCACACGCTCTGTCGTTACACCACGCAGAGCAGAGCTCGATACTTGGACCTTGGTCTGGTTCCCAGCGTACTTTGGAAATGATAAAGCATTCAGGGCAAAGAGAGAGAGAGAGGGAGAGGCTGGAATTGCTTGCAAGTATATTGTTATTGTTAAGGGAATGCCTGTGCCCTCAAGAGCGTTCTGGAGATAAACAGAGAAGCCTAAAACCAGTCTCAGGCATAAGATTCCTTGCAGACACCAGATTTATCAAAGCCCTTATTAAAGTTCTGGGTATTTGCAAACATTGTGCTGCAAAAAGCCTTCCCCTCATATCAAGGTCCTGCTCATAATAAACTCCTGTAAATCTCCCAAAACGGAAGAGCAGAGATTTTGATTAAAGACCTGAAAACCAGCTTACTATATACAGCCCCAAATGCATGACATTTCAACTAAATGGGGCACTCCGCTGCAAAAACGCTACCATCCAGCTTCTATCCCAAGGCCTTCCCTCACTCCTTGCCTTTTATGGCCTGTTAGGTGTGTGAGGCTTCTCTCCTTCCAAGGCTTCCGGGTAAGAATAGGGAGCAAACTATCCGCAAGCTACAAGACATGTCTCAGAGGGGCCGCTGGTAGGAAGTCCAAGTCCACTGCCTGGGGAGCAGGAGCTGTTCGCTTCTCCAGTCTTGCAGCGTCATTGGGGAGGGAGGGAATGTCATCATCTTATATTGTCGATGTTACTCCTAGTGAATGTTTTGACTGAGCTTTCTCTGTGTGCTCAAGGCAGATCACATGCATGAATCTCACTAACCCTTAAAAATCAACCCTGTAAAGCAGGCCAATATTATTAGCCAGGTATGACGGACCTGGGGGAGCGGCCGAGGCTGTGAAAACTGAACCTCGCTGAAATATACTGGGCTCGAGACGCATATAGTGATCAGCTCATAGTTTATTAGTGATTTCAGCTTAACTCTAAAACAACTCTAGCAGGGCCAGAGCTCTACATACATGCATGCATGGAAAACACCCCACCCCACACACACACACACTCCCCGTGATAGGCGATTTACAAAACATTACTACTTGATTGATTTATTCTAGATTTCTGGTCGGCTATTGTTCTTGTGCTCCAAGCTCAGCCAGTCTCTAGGGTGATTCAATCAGGGTGATTCAATCCCAATACATAACACCTGCCTAAATCCATCAGTTAAGTTCATAGCTCACTTCATTAAACTGAATTTCTAATTTCAGAAGCAAAGAGAGACTCTTTTCAGCCTCCATTCACCGTATCCAGCCTAAATGCATGCCCTTGCCTTGTAACTCTCACAGCTCCCTACCATCCTCTCTCTGCAGATGAAGTCTAGAGGTAAGGTCCATGGGCAGGTTTTCTTTGTTCTTTCTTTTTTGTTTGTTTGTTTATGCCATAACACATCATGTTGATCGAGGGCTCCCTGTAAGTGCAAACGGCAGAAACAGTGCCCAAGTCAAGCTGAAGAAGATCTGAAGCCTGAATCCCAGATGCTGAAAATTAGCTGAGGTTCAGAGGAGCCCCTTCTACAAAAACACTTCAAGCTGCTCAAATGATCTGACTGACAGGCGCCTGTTTGATCGCTTCATGGGCCTCTGTGAGGAAGCCTTCCTTCTCCCCTGTTAACTAGTAGGGTTCCATGGATGAGCCAGACTCTAAGTCTAGCATCAGCTCTACTTTATTAGTGATTTCAGCAAGAGCAAGACTGAACTCCAGGGCCGCAGCCCTGTTTAAATAGCATGCAGTTGCCACACCCAAACAAACCCCACTCCCAATGATAGGCTATTTCCATAACATTACTTCTTGATTGGTTACTTCCAGATTCCTGATGGACTATTGTTTTTGGGCTCCAAGCTCAGCCCGTCTCTGGTAGAACAGTCCTGTAATGTTTCAGTCCAATACATAACATCCCCCAACCAAACAAAAGGGCCACCTCGTTGGTGGCTGGCTAAAAGGCATTCCTTCCTCCCCCGGGACTTACAGACAAGCCTCCTCTTCCCAGCTCCCTTTGACCTGGCTGCTGAAGCTGCCAGCCAGAAAGGTAATTAGTGCCATCAACACTTATGAAAGGAGCCCTCAGCTCCTGGGCTTCACTGGGGGAGCCCCTGTAAGCTACCCCCCCCCCTAAAGACTTCCTGTCACTGCCAACCAGAGCAAAGTCCGAACTTGTTGACCTACCCTGGAAAGGCTCCACTTATCTCAGTCATTAGCCTTGTTCCATTTATCTTCACAGAAAAGCAGTGGGTGAGTTACAGCAGCAACCTGCAAAGGTGTCATAAAGACAATTAGATCCATTTTCTGGTCAATGTGGAAACTTAGACGAGGGGAAGGTGTCCCTGTTATTCCCAGTGGACGGATCAGGGTATTTATACCTAAGCCTTAAGGCAGGGGTGTCAAACATGTGGCCCGGGGGCTGGATCAGGCCCCCGGAGGGCTTCTATCAGGCCCGCAGTGGAACTGGCTGTCTTCTGCTTCTTCATCCAGTTCTGCTGCTCCTGTGTCGTCGTAGGTTTGCAGCTTACAGATACACACCTGTACAGACATTTTGATGCAATCATTCAGAGCAAGAGGTGTCAGTTATCAGACACTGTTAAATAAACACAATATTGCAAGAGTTCTAATGCTTTAAGCATGTTTTTATTTTAAGTTAAAAAAGACCTTTGTGTTTGTGTCCTTTATAACGTTTATATCTCCACTACCTGGCATTACCTTTTATGACACATGGCTCGGCCCAACAAGGTCTCATTTATGTCAGATCCGGCCCTCATAACAAATGAGTTCGACACCACTGCCTTAACATCGTGGAAATGCCACCCCCATACATACACACACCCAGGGAGTGCTCAAACCCGTACACACTTTTTTGTGTCAGTTTGGTTGGTCTTAAAAGCAGTTATTAGCTTAACTTTATTTTTATTTTTATTTTATTTGGGTCAACACAACTCCCTGGGATTTACCACTATGATGTGTTTGAGGTACCATCTACCCAGTGT